AAAAAAAAAAAAAAAAAAAAAAAAAAAAAAAAAAAAAAAAAAAAAAAAAAAAAAAAAAAAAAAAAAAAATACTGTTGCTAATTTGAACATTAACGTTTGGGATGAAACTACAATATTGGTTAAAGGGTTGCTTTATGTGATGCAGAGTAATTGAATATTTCTCATTTCACCCTTGGTTGAAAGCACAGGAAGTTTTAATTAATAAGTAATACATACATAGCTGCCAATTCTACAAGTATTACTAATACATAATAAAGCAAGCCTCATATATAGTAATCATTGTAGAGATTTTTTTTGTTCTAAAATTTTTAATTAATTTTTATTTAAAACTCCCTTTTTGAATTAATTAAAAAATCTTATAACCATCAATAATAAGCGTCAATTATCATTCAAAATTGTGAGTTAACATAATTAAAAACATTTCGCATTCATTTAATGTCTATCATAAATGGAAAAAATTGCAGGAAAATATTAATGTAATAAAAGTTTTGTATTTTGATGATAATAAAAATATCTAAAATTCCATGTATGTAAAACATTTCGTATATTATGCAGCAGTTATCAGTAAATTTACATTACAGAGTGCGTTCTGAAAGTAATGCGCATTTTCTGGGAAAAATAGATTTATTGATCCTATGGGTACAAATGGTTAAAATTCTTCAAAATAGTTCCCTTGTGCATCAATACACTTGCAGAAACGATTCTGCCCTGCCTGGAAGGCACCCTGGAACTCCTCGACAGGAATGCCTCTCAGGAACCTTGTAACTTGAGCTTGGATGTTCTCCACCAACTCCCAGTGCTTTCCCTTTAGCTCTCTTTTCAGTCGGGAGAACAAAAAAAGTTACACGGTGCCAAGTCAGGGCTATAGGGAGGCTGGGGCACCAAGGAGATCTTACTTTGAGTCAGGTAGTTTTTGCTCCTCTGTCAACACCTTTGGCACAAGCTTCGCACAAACCTTTCGTATTTGCAATTCCTTCATCACAATCCCACGTACCACACATTTTGAACAGTTCAGGGTGTTAGCGATTGCCTGAATGCTTAACCCAAGGGTCTGACTTCAAAACTTCACGCACACGCTGGACGTTTTCATCGATTCGGGCTTTTGTTGGGCGTGCAGAACGAGGCTCGTCGGTGACCTTCTCCCGACCCTCCTTGAAGACCTTGTGCCACCTTCCACACTGAGATCTCGAAATGCATTTCTCCTTTAAGGCGTATTGAAGCATGTGATGAGTTTCCGTCACATTCTTTCCAAACCGATCGAAAGAAAGACTTTGCGCAAAGACACGTTCTACTGCTCAGAGCGACCTGAGACCAGGCGCATTTGGAAGGACAAATCCCCCACCACATTTTTAGACCAGTCTGAGTGCGCTGCAATTGATAGTCGCATCACAATAAAATCATGCGGATTACTTTTAGAACGCACCCTGTATGTAAAATCTACTAGATTTTTCCTATCCATGTTGGCAGCTATTTTAATAGTAAAATTAAATAATTAGCAATAAATGAGTTTCAAATCAGTTTAAAAATTTTCTTTGAATCTTTACTATTTCTTTATGGTAAAACCAGAAATAAACAATAACTGAATGTTATGTGTTGTCCCGGAAAATGTCTGACAATTTCTTGACAATCCTGCAATTTATAATCAGTACTACAAATAACCAGGCATCATAATCACATTTTACTCAAACTGAATAATGAATCTCCGTCACTCATTTAGATACGAGGATTACAACCCCACAAAGGTATTAACCTTCAACAAGCCAATGGTATCTAAGCTCCACTCAGAAGGTTTTGATGACATTGAGAAAGATTTGAAAACATAAGTGACTAAATGGAAACTACCTGCACCTGATAGACTCTGATTGAGAAATTTTGTTGGGATATCCCTGGGGTGGTAGTTCTATGAAAAAGAATGTGTCTTCATGTTGTCAAATTACTGCCTCTGTGGTAATATTTTAAAATGATGTGTAGCAAAAGTGACAGAAACAGTTTATTTAACAGATTTGACAAGCTCATTCATGAATATTTAGAAGCTGAAAATAAAATTAGTACATACATAGCAAAGGATACACATATCTTATGTTACAAATAAGTATACAAAAATTTGACACTTATTTTCTACATCAAAAAAATTGTGATTTATTGACCAAAACACCTATCTAATACTTTGAAATAGCAATCAACTGATACTAAAATTTATTCCAATTTGATCTAGTTGTTGGCCAAAAAATTATAAGTGTGTAAAATATTTTAAAAAGTACACTAACAAAAACTTTCATACCAGAAAATTGTAAAAAAAAAAATTTTTTTTTGAGGGCAAAAAAATTAAAATATCAAGACTGCTAGTTTTTGCAAGAGATTTTAAAAATTCGTCGAGAATTAAAAATTAAAATGTACAGAATATTGTTCAATTTTGTTAACTCATTAAAAGCTTCACTGCAAAAAAAATAAAATAAAGGCATATCTATGCTCAAATTATTTATTGTTTAAATATAAATTTTGGTACTACTAGAAAAACTTGCCTACAAAGTGAAGCATGTTGGCATCACCAAATTAATTGAATAGAAATAGTTACATGGTTAAACCAGTCCTAAGTGTGAACAAATATTTACCTTCTTATGGATTAAAATTGCACAAAAATCTTAGGCAGATGTTTTAAATGCATGTTTCAAAGACCTTTTTTTATTTTTCAAGTTTACTTTTTAAAGAATTCTTGCACGCCAATCCAGTTATTAAACTCTTCTTTTAAATTAACAAAACTTAAATTTTTGAGCTCAATGTATGAGGAAGGAAATTTAAAAAGATTATTTCAGAAAAATAATGTACCTTTGAAAAAATGAAAAGAAATTTATTTGAAAAAAATTAACTTCAAAATATTTATAAAATATATAAAAAAAAATCATTAATAATGATTGCACTTAGGCGAATGTGTATTAAACCTATCTTAGAAGCTTAATGGCAATTAAAATTCATAAAATTTAACCTTTACTCTTCTTGTTTGTACTTGTCTGATGTGAGGCACCCCTGCTTTAGTAGCATAATTCTCGTCCTTTATTCAGTTTGTAAAACAATTTTAAATGAGATAATGTAATTTATAAGATATTAATTTGATTGTATTATAAATAGTGTGTATAAAACTCAATTAACTACAAATTGTTTGCCTTTTATTCTTTAAATTTTAATATATAAGTGATTTTTTTTTGTTTTCTTCTTTTTAGTTAGTGAAAGTTTTAAAATAGGATTACTTTTCTTAGTTATTTTGAAAGTGTTTGTTAATGAAAAATTCCAGTTATACGAGGTTAGACTTAAGGGTAGTAGTTAGAGTAGAAATGTTGGTATATTAAAAAGTTAAAATTAAAAAAAAATTATTTAAGATTTTTTACACATTATAATGATTGAAGAATCAATTTTTCAGAAAAGTTTTAAACTTTTTTGAAAAATCCTTTCAACCTGTCATTATTAATATTCCTACTAAATAAATCGTGATGACATTTTTAATACTTTTCTACCTTTTGCAGAGCTATTAAAATGTGATCCATATTAATTAAGCATGGAGATGACACTTTTATAAAGAAATGGTGCTTGATCTTAAAGTGATAATTTTATCTCTTCAATTAAAGTTCCTACTTTTTATTAAGATTTAGGTAATATCTTTGTCACGGTGTCACATGACGGTATATAATCTTTAGCTAAATTTATTACATTTTTTAATCAATTTTGATTAAATTTTCTTTCTATTTAATTGTATCCTCACCCATTTAATTTTTTCCCAGCTTTTTTTTCTTTCCTGTAAATGCTACTTTTTCAAATTTGCTTCAAGACAATTTGAAAAAGTAGCATTTACAGAAAGGATATATAATATATATGATATATTTTATATAAATATATATATAAAAGATATGTAATATAAATCAAATTATTGGTTGTATAGCAGTATTTAAAAATGGCCAAAAGAATTATGGGTTAGTATAAATTTTTCTTTACAATTTATGCTATATTAAACGAGGTATACGAATCATGTTAGGTTCCATTTATTCTCATTCACAATGTTAATTGAGTTTTATTGAAAAATTAAAATGATGCAAAAATTATACTTTTGGTAGCTTTTAACGAATAATAGAATGAAACTTTTTGTTTCAATGTGTTTAAAAATATGTTTTAGTCCTTAATTTTTGAGCTCCAATTTTAAAATCTTAGTTTTTGATAAATTTTATCATTTTTAAATTTATTTAATTTGAAATTGAATTTAATTTTCTTCAACATATCATTTTATAGTTCGAGTATACATTTAACAAGTATTTCTTTAAGAGAACACATACAGTACATAAAGACTAAACAAATTACTTCATTACTAGTTACACATATGAACAAAATGGCACATAACAAATTTGTTCTTTATCCTTTATTTCAAAAGGACTGCCAAACATCGCTATTAAAATCTTCTTCAAAGTCTTGTGTTAATGAATCAGATACGAAAACTGTCTTTGTATTATAAATGCCTCGCAAAATAGTCTGGTGTTTAATGTATACCTTATAAATACTTGTCCGTAAAGACTTCTGCAAAATGTTTGAGCACTCAATATAAAGTTCAGTTTCTGAATTATTCTTTAGTAATTAATATTGAGAAAAAAATATTTTTATTTTCTTATATGGCATCATCCCTAACAGGTATTGGACTGTATGATCCGTTGGTTGGTTTTTGTGTTATGGGCTGGGATACTTTATAATTACTTAACCATGTCCCACTAGTTGAGAGACTAACACAGCTGGTTCTATCACGGATACCTCGACTGGGGTATAGTCTGTATCCATCTCCGCTGCCTGTACCGTCACTTTGTAATTGGCGTCTTCTTCCTCCAAGACCTCTCCGATCTCTCCATTGTTCAAGATGATGCCGAACAGATTTTCGAACCTGAAACGAAAAAATTTAGATAAAATTATGGTTTTCATGTGGACTAAAAGGACTTAAATTATAGATTTAAAACAAAACACACAGGGAGCATGGCTTGTGGAAGATGTTAAGAGAAATTTTCAGTGATGATAGAAGTTCATCGCAAAATCAAACTCTCTACATTTATTACAAATCAATTACCGGATTCTTATCAATTTATTTCTAACGATTAGTCAACACATTTTTAATTGAAGAGAACGTTGATATTGTTTTGCTTTTATCCGTCCCTGGTATTAATATTAATCGATGGCGCTCTCTAATGTGTTTAATTTTTAACTCCTTTTTCAACACGAATTCTAAAAATATATAAAGAACATTGATTATTTTACATCTTCAAAAATGGAAAACTAAATTTTTCCATAAAATAAAAAATTGTTGCATGTGTGCGACCCCTATTTTGTTTTGCATCGCTTTGGAAAAATTAATTTTTACATTTCATTTGTAAAATATAGGACTTTTTCAGAATTTTGAACTATATTCAAAATAGAATTGTTTTGCCGCTATTAAAATCATCTTAAACATGGAAGTTTTGATTATTTTTTATTAAACTGTTTAAAGAAAATGATTGTCATTTGTAAACTTACCTCTCCGTTGAGGAAACAATATAGCACCGCAACTGTAAAACCCTGAAACAAAGCAAATTATTAAATCAACCATGTAATTTAAATGGTACATTTAAGCATATTATCGTTTTTTATTTATGTAAATATTATGGTCTGGTTTGTAATGAAACAGCAATTACAATGTAGAAATTTTAATATTTATTTATAGTATTTTAACTCAGATTATTCAGAAATGAATGGAAGAGCTAAAATCAACCATTTCAGAAAAGACGAACAATGCTATCAGTTTCCTAAAAATACTATTATGAGTCTGTTCATGTGCAGGATGTTCTGTATTGAGTGTCCTTAGTCCTTGTCAGAAAATGTAATTGAGAAACTATATTTATAAGGGGTCACAAATTAATACAGTAGGGAACCGATTATCCGGAACGATCGGGACCATCGATATTCCGGATAACTGATTTTTCCGGTTTTCTGAATCGCTACAAAATGCCGTTTTTTTATAGTTAAATCCAACTGAAAAAAAAAATTACAAATAATCTTAAAAAGAAGAAAAAACGATGAAGTAATACACCAATGATTATTTCCCAAAATGATGGAAAGGTAAATATCTTTTAAAAAAAAACGAAAAATCATAAAATCTTATGAGGAAAAAAAAAATTTTTTTTTTTAAAATGGCGGGAAAACTAATCGAATTTCGTTCTGGTTTTTTGGTCTTCCGGTTTTCTGATTTCCGGATAGCGGGTTCTGTACTGTATTTAAGATAGGGGAGGGGGGAGTCTAAAAACAAAACCTGTTTTATTGTGGAAGGACATAGATATGAGTTAAAAAGCGATTATTAGAAACGCCACATTCATCAGGCAGTCAATCTCGTTTTGATTCTTAAATCCCGCCTTTCTCACTAGTAATTCAGTGCATTTCGTTAGTGTTTTTGTTTCTTTTTGGTTTAAATATCAATTTGCGACTCGAAAGGGGAATACTTTTTTATCTTCAGTCAGTATTCAGGGAATTATTGTCAAAAATGACAAGAATTCTAAAAATATTTATTACGTGGCGACATGATATTGATATCAATTTGTGTCAAACATCATAAGTTCATTAATTTTCATTGTAAAATACTTATGAAAATATCCGGCTTATTACCTGTGTTGAAAGGAGAAGCGCTTGAGCGTATGAGAAAACCACTCTCGCTGTTCTATGATCTGGTGTTGCAATGACAACGATGTATGTGACGCCAAGTAGAGGAATCAAAACCAGAAGAGCTTTCGCTGCTTTCCTAAAAGAATAAAATTCAAATTTATTTATTACCTTTACTATCTTATTTTCAACACAGAAAATTCTTACAGATATACATTATTCTTTTGTATTTTTGCTTAAAAAAAGTTACTGGAAGATTTAAATTCGAAAATTTTCGTGGCTTACGCAATACATAGGTCTGTTTTTGAAACCAGATTCCATTTTTGATTTCGTTAAAAATTTTTTCATTCTTTTATTTTTACTTACTAGGAGACATCTCGGCAAAAGCAATGAAATGAAATTATTATTATTTTTTTTTTATCATTGTTAAACATTTTTAAGTGCTTCTTTAGTATTCGAAAAGGAAACTGAAAATAGTTTTATTTATGCCACTTATCAGCAGTAGATGATCTTACGTTAATCGGATACATTTATTGAATCCGACAATAAATGTATCCGAATGTTTGTTTCGGAGGAATTTATTAGCCGTTCGGAATACTTGGTTCTGATGAATTTATTGGTGGATCGAAATGTTTGGTTCTGATGAATTTATTGGTGGATTGAAATCTTTGGTTCGGATAAATTTATTGGTGGATCGAAATGTTTGGTTCGGATGGCTTTGTTAGTGGATCGAAATGTTTGGTTCTGATGAATTTATTGGTGGATTGAAATGTTTGGTTCGGATGAATTTATTGGTGGATCGAAATGTTTGGTTCGGATGAATTTATTGGTGGATCGAAATGTTTGGTTCGGATGGCTTTGTTACTGGATCGAAATTTTTGGTTCGGATGACTTTATTGGTGGATTGAAATGTTTGGTTCGGATGGCTTTGTTAGTGGATCGAAATGTTTGGTTCGGATGAATTTATTGGTGGATCGAAATGTTTGGTTCGGATGGCTTTGTTAGTGGATCGAA